AGGTCGTCGCCGACTCTTTTTAAAGCCAACGTGGCGCCTCCTGCTCTGCTTTCTAACCGGCTTCGCGCTGCGCCCCCCCCCTCTAGTTCCCGCGGCACGTCGCTTCGCTCTTCTAGTTATTAAGCTTCTCGTTAGGAATTAGGAGGAGAATTTCAGCAGCTGCCTGGAAAAAGGAAGGAAAAAGAAACGTCAGGTTGAAGGCGCGCGTGCAAAACCGTAACAGGATCGAGCCAAGTTTAGGCTGTCGCCAAAGCATCTGCGAACAAACGCGGAAAACGCTTCTCCCGGATGCTTTGCTCCCCACCGAATCGTTTCTTCACTGTTTTTAAGAGACACCCAGGAGCGTTGTAACGAGACACACGACCAGCGTATCCAAAGGGGCTCGGCCCCGGCTTCCGTCACGCGGTAACACGCTTCCATCCGGGCGGTCTCAGCGGAGCTCGGCTCGGCTTTTCCGACCGTTATCGCGGCGTCGCTACGCGCCGGAACCGAGACGCTCGTTAACCTCCGGATAACGCGTGGGGGAAAAAAAGCGGATGGGGAAGAAAAAAGAAAAAGGCAGAGCGGCCATAAACTAAACTTCTGATGTCGCTCAGGAGCGACTTAAAGACGCCCACGGTTTTACCGGCGACGGGTCTATCCGTTCCAGCGCGTCCAGCCTAAAATCAGCGGCGTTGATTTGTTTCTAAAATCAATCTCATTTCTTTAAAGTTTCCCCTGCTCAGAGGGCTCGTACGACAGAGGGAGGCTACGCTTTAGCGAATCCGCGTTGCGGCTAATGGCGCCTCCAAACTAATTAAAAGACATCCTGGTTAACTTGTGAGCGCAGAGTGAATTTTCTTGGGAAGCAGAAGGGATAAAGTCTTGCCGAGAGAGCGGCCGCAGCGGAAAGGACGGAGCTACGGGCAGGGCGGAAGGTTATCGGACGCCCGGTTGGCGCGGCCCGAGACGGCAGCAAACGAGTTAACGCCCAAAACGAGAGGCTTAACTCCGCAGAAGTCAGGGCCTGCAGGGAAAAACGCCAACAACGGCGGCGACGTCAAGGTTTTCTCTCGTCGTTCCGACTTCGTGCCTAGATATATTCGGACGGCGGCCCCAGCAAGTTCCCCCAAACTCAAGGCGGAAATTACTAGCTTACCTTCGTCGTCCTCCTCAAGCTCCGCAAGATGTTCCTCCTCCTCGGATCCTCCCCGTCGGCCGTTTCGTAGGGAATAACGGCATTATCGCCTTTATATCCTTGGGAGGTCTGATCCTCCTCCTTCTTCCGGATGGGTCCCAACTCATCGTCGCTGCCGACGCTGAAGCTGGTCCGGTAGCTGGCGAACCTGCCCAGGCGGGCGCACCGCGTCCGATACAAAACCGGCTTGCTGACGGCGGACACCTTCCGGCCCCGTTCCAGGGAGCTCGTGTCCATCTCGCTGTCGGAGCCGTTGCCGCTGCCGTTGGACTGCGCCTTGTTGATGTTGCGGATGGTGATGATCTTGCCTTGGGTGCTGTCGTGAGGCACCGAGTAGATGTTCTCCTCCTCGTTCCTCGGCTTGACCACGGCGTCCATGGGCTCGGCGTAGTCGGACGGATCGAAGCCGTCGGTGGGCAGCCAGCTGCTCGAAGACACGGATTTCCGCTGGCCGTCTCTGTGCCCTTGGTCCAAATACGACAGATCCCCCTTGGTAATGTCAAAATGCACCGGGGGCTTTGGTTTCACCGGAGGAGGTACTTTGTTGTTCAACTTGCTTTCAAAAGTGTTCATAACCGAAATGAAAGACAAACTGTCGTTCCCCTCCAGCTCCATGGAAAGCTTCGAGTGATCTTTGGGCAAGGCAGGCAGGGACGTGTCCTCCCTGAACGGGCTGTAGGACGGCGGCTCGATATCCTCCTCTGAATCCTGGAGGTTGGAGTTGCAGAGAGGGGAGCCGGCTCGAGGCGAGTTGAACACCTCCTCCGTCGTGCTGCACGCTTCGGCGACGTTGTCGTACATGTGCGTGGCCTCGATGATGGTTTTTTTCTCCACCACGTCTTTGAAGAAGGAGTGGAAGATCTCGAGCTTGTGCTGCGGCTGGCTGCAGGGTATCGTGGTGAACTTGCCGTCGATCTCCTGGGCGATCTCCTCTCCCTCGGTGAGCTGCTCCCTGCTCAAGTCGTTGTCGAGGATGTCGATGGAGCCGTCGGTGAGCGCCACGATCTGTATGGGGATGATATCCTGCACTTCGCAAAGAAAGGCACGTAACATGGCCAAGGACGCCTTCCGCTTGGCCGAGTAAAACACGATGTACCCGTGCACCAAGCGGCTTTTCCGAACGCTGAACGAGGAATGGTACGAAAGGATGGAGAGCTCGACGCGCCGCCTGTGCGGCCCTATGGACAGTTCGAGCAGGACGGAGCTGCTGCTCGCGCACTGGGCGGGTCGGTACGTCGGGGACTGCAGAATCGGCACGAGGATATCGTCCGCGCTGAAGGGGTCTCCGCACATGAGGCACATGACGATCCGCAGGTCGACGTCGGCCAGCTCCTTGATGCTGGAGGTAGAGCTCACCAGGTTCAAGTTGCGCTTCGAGTCCAACAAGCCCTTCAACACTTGGCTGATTTGCTTCTCGTTGATGTTCCGGCCGTAGCCGATGCCGGCGGACGCGGGGTCGAGAAAGACGCACTGCAGCTTGCTCGCGATCTGCTGCCCTTGCTGTATCAAGCTGTGCAGCGTCTCGCCGCTGGTGTCTCCCCTCTTGTTGACGAGGATGAGCGTCAGAGGGAGGTGGGCCAGGTGGTTATCCCTTCTGCCGATGGTCGACTCCCGACTCTTCTCGATGCTCTCCACCACGTAGGACAGCGACTCCTTCGAGTTGTAAAGGCAAAGGCAGCCGTGAGGCTGAAACGTGGGCGTCTGAAAGGAGTTGACGGGCAGCCGGACGTTGCCCTCGATGGGCCGCAAGGACAGCTCGTACATTTTGCCTTCTATCACGTACTTGTCGTCGTTCGTACAAAGAGCCCGGATCTCGTTGGCCAGCTCCCGTGCCAGGCCATCTTTACCCAGAATCACCAGATTAATCCTATCGATATTGGAATCGGAAAGCAAGTTTTTCTGATTGCGCTCCGACGGTCTAATGAAGCGGGAACTGATCAAGTGCTCGATTTTTGAGTCTATGCAAAGCGGGCAGCTGGGGCAGGTTTCCTTCGTTGGGTGATACACAAAATGGATGTGTTTCAAAATAAGGGCGTCCCGCTCCGCCTGCAGCTTTTGCAAAGCTTTAAATCGTTGCTCCTCTCCCAAAACGTCTTGGATGACGCCCATTTTCTCCTTGCTCGGTTTAGCGTCAAGTTCCAGTTCATAAAACAGTTCCGAATACTCCAAGAGCAGCTCCTGAAACTCTTCCTTGGCCTTCTCGATAATCTGTTTTTGGTGCTTGCTGTAGATATCCATATAAATAGATTCCTCCAGCCACATGTAAAAATCCTCGTTCATGATGAAACTGCGCGCCTCCTCCCAAGGCTTCCCGGGCGTTATGAAGGGGGAAGTCTCCAGGTTCTCCTTGAAAGCTCTCCTCATTTCCGCTCTTTTCCTCTCATTCCTCAGCTTTTCCAAGTGAGCTTCATAAAGCTGCTCGGCGGGCTGAGTCTCCATCAGGTCGAAAGGAATGCGTTCGTTTTCCATGTTGTCTATGTGGCTCGTGGCGTCCCAGGGGGTCTCTTCGAGGACGACGAACCATTTTGAGAAGTCGGGCTTCGTCTCCAACAGTTTCTCGACCTTCACGCAGCTCAAGTGATCGATCTCGTCCAGGTCCGGGATGAGCGCTTCGAAGGCTTGCGGAAGCATGGCGAGATACATCTTCCGTCGGCGCTCTATGTGCTCCTGCTTGAGGCGATGGACGTGCTGCAGGAAGAGCTTCTTGGCTTTCTGCGTCCCTTCCAGATACACGTAATCCTGATACTCTGGCGAGGACTGCATCTTGCGGCTCACGTTCGACCACGTCTCGTTGTGGTTCTTGACAATGCGGCTGACCAGCCACTCATACTTGTCTTTAGCGGCAGCTATCTGTTGGCTTTGCTGTTTCAAAGCTTCAAAGTAGGGGATAATTTTAGTCTTTCCCCGGCTTTTATCGATTAGCTGCACTAAGGTGCTGAAGGCCAAGTCAATGTTCACATTGGATCTAGCAGACGTCTCCACCACCTGGAGGTTCTTTTTGCTTAAGGCAAAAGTATGGGCATCTCGAATGTACCGCTCCACCCCTTCGTCGCACTTGGTCAGCACCACCACAATGGGCTTTTTCGTTTTTGCGAGCTGATTGTAAAGGTTGGAAACAAATTTGAGCTGATCGTCAAAGTTCCTGTTCATGCCCCTGCTAACGTCGATGCAGAGCAGAAAGCCGTCAACCAGCAGCTTTCCATCCGGCATCTGTTTCTGTTCAAAGTCCTGCTCCAGCCCCAGCTGATCAGTGCAAAAGTACATGAGTTTTTCAGCCGAGGCGAGTTTGGTCGCCGCAGCCCGTTTGATGTAGGGCTGCAGGGCCGTGCTGCGATGAGGCTGGAAAGTCTGGTCGTCGATAAACTCGGTCTGCTCCACGACGTGCATTTTACACTCCACGCAGTCCTCCAGGGAGCGTGCCACTTCGCCCCAGTAAAGGAAGTGGTCATTATTGACGACCCTCCCTCCAAAGTCACTGGTGCTGAGAACCGAAGTGTGGTCCAAATGAAACTCGTCCGCACTGGGCCGGACGAAGCGGTTGCAAAGGCAAGACTTCCCGATGCCGCACTGCCCCTTCTCCTTCTCCGTGCCGGATAAGCCCACCACGCTAAGGTTGTAGGTGGGAATGCGGACATCTTGCTTTCTTGCCATCATCATCGTCCGCACATCCTGTCCCCGTCGACCGCTTCCGAAGGGATTAGTGTTTCCAGGCCCCCGGGCGAGTTCGGAGCTTGTTGGAAAGAGGGGTGGCGGTTATCAAAGCAGGCAGGCCGCCAGGGCGACGGCGTCTGGCGTTCCCATACCGCGCGCACCAGCAGCGGGTCAGTCCTTGCTGATTCCCGTACTTGGG